AGCTATCTTTAAATTCTTAATTTTTGAAGGAGGAACTCTGCATTTTTATTTTACGTGGCCGCTGTAGCTCGTCCTATCTATACCCTGACCAACTAAATTAAAACTCCTCAGACTATAATGAATTGAATTAAATTGTTAGGACGATTCTCAATCCTTCCTCTGCCTGTTAGCAAAATTTGACTCAGTTGATCACTCCTTCTTCCTTGAAACATTTTCCCACTTGGCTTCCAGGGCACTGCACTTCTCTGGTTTTCCTCTGCCTACTGGCTGCTCCTCTGCTATTTTCTCCCTAATCTATTAGCACGTCCCAAGAAACTCCTGATCATCTCTTGCAAACATGCTTCTCCTAGTCTATTTCATCTTTTCATGGTAACTCCATCCTTCCAGTGGCTCAGGCCAAAAACCCTTGCCATTGTTTTTTACTGCATCTCTCAAACCATGTCCAATTTGTAAGCTGTTCCAGAATTGACCGCTTCACCACCGTCATCACAGTCCAACTCTCTCTCCCAGATTACTGCAAAACCTAAGTCACCTCCCTGTTTCCACCTCCTCTCCTGTGCCCAGGGGTCTGTTCTCCACACAGTTGCCAGGATAATCTTTTCAAAATATAAGCCTCATCACTCCTCTGTTAAAAGTCATCCCATCTCTATGCATCACAATCAGAGGAGAAATCCCCACAGGAGGTATCAGCCAAGCCTCCTACCACCCCCTCACCATTGGGTGGTGCCCCTCTCCCCTCTGCCTAGAATGCCTTCCCAGATATCAGTCTGGATGGCCCCTCATCTCCTTCAGTTCTAGGTAACTGTCCCCCATCAGTCAGTCCTTCCCTGAGTACCTGATTTGCAACCACTATCAACTTTCACCCTCATTCCTCATCCAGTCCTTCCCTGCTCACTTTTCTCCAAAGCATTCATCACCATCTGATATGTATTGTATTTTATTTATTTGCATATTGTTTATCTCTTCCCATTAGACTGTAGGCTCTGTATGGACAGGACTTTGTGTCTCAACTGCTATATAACCAACACATAGGATAGTGCCAGTGAATGATGGTAGAAAGTTCTGGAACAGATGATATTACTAGCATTAGGTTACAGTTGCATCAGCCCCTCTGAATGTATAAGGTACTTTCACAGTCTGTATTACCAGGAAGTTGGTCCTGCATACAGGAGTGAGGCATTTATGGGGACTACTGTGAGCCAAGCCTCCCACCAGACTCAACTGTGAAGATAGAAAGGCAAGTCTAAGAGTTTGTGGCCTAGAGGGAGGTTTCATAAATTTATGCAAATAACTCGAGAACAAGGCAGCATTTGTTAAAAATATCCAGTCTTTAATGCCTAACATCTCACATTCTGCCAGCGACGCTGGAGTTTTCTATAGAGAGAAGGGACAGTGAACCATGGCTTGTAAACTTACTGTGTGGCTATTTCTGTCCCAGGCAAGTTTCTGCACTGGCCTGCTTATCACACCAGACACCTTGCCTAACTTCCAATCTAATTTGCTCCAAAGTCCCTCCTCCACCCAATACAGCCCCCTATGGAAACCCCTCCCACTTACAGTCCCTCCACATTCTGCTCCTACCGAAGGTACTGGGAACATGAGGCAGGGGTGGGATCAACTTTGGAGGGTTGCAATAGAGAATAAAGAACCTAAATATGTCCTTACAATGAAGATGATTATATCTCTCTATGAGCCTGCAGTTCACAGAACTCAGAGACTACATCTGTTCATCTTTGTGGCTTGACAGCCTTGCCCAGTATGTAGGACAGAGTGGGCATTCAGTTATGTTTGCTGGATCGCTGACATGGATGTTGTAAGCTCCAAGTCAAGACAATCCTGTTTAAGAAGTACTTCCTCATCTTCTGTAATGTGCCCCAGAGGTATTCTGTAAGGTTATTTTATTGAGCTGTTATAAGAAACAACTTAACCAGTAAGAATTAAAACATCTAAAAAAGAGAGAGAGAGAGAGAGAGAGAGAGAGAGAGAGAGAGAGAGAGAGAGAGAACAATATTTAAAATGCAAATTTAAGTTATAAAATGACATTTTATAATTTTCAAAGTTTCTTTTAATTTGCATTTGATTTCTTTAAATCCTTTATCTGAAAATCCAAAAATAATCAAGAGATAGATTACAAAGCATGCCTTCCATTTCCTTCAGGATTCCTTTGAATAGAGACTCTCTGAACTTATCTGAAGTTTTAGAGACTTGTGAGAAAGAATGAGGAACTGAGAAACTTAAAACTAAAGCATTAGGATCTTCTAATTAAAAGCCACGTTAAGTTTTGGCGGTGGGTTTTTTTGTTTTGTTTTGTGTGTGTGTTACATAATTTTCAATACTTTTCAGTGTGTATGTTCATATAACACATTTTCATACCCAGGCAAGATCAAGCATAAGAAGATAGCCCATCTTATAATCAGTAAGAGGTGCTGTCAGCAATAAGATAAAATTTGGGACAGGTAAATCCTTCCTTAGTTCTTGTTTCTTTGTATACAAAGTAGGAGGAAGAACTAGATGGTTACATGGGCCCTTCCAGTTCTAATGCATTAGAAGTCTATGGAAGCAGGGGCAGCTATTCATATTATAAAGAATCCCTTTCAAATTTTCTGTTTCTGAAAATTTGACTTGGTTTCCCAAAATCTGGTTACTATATTTTTATTATTAACTAGAGGCCTGGTGCACAAATTCATGCATGGGAAGGGGCTGGCAGGGGGTGGGGTGGGAAGGGGACACAGGAGCTTGGCTGGCTGGTCCCACCCCTGATGGGGGGGAGGGGCCGATTAGGGCTGGGGCCAGCGGGTGGGAGAGGGCAGGAGGCGGAACCACAGGAGGCTGGCCAGCCACAGTGTGCATCAAAGCGACTGGTCATTCTGGTCATTCCGGTTGTTCTGGTCATCTGGTTCCTTGGCTTTTATATGTATATAGATAAAAGCAGCCAATGATTAAGGACATTCAACATGACAGGCACATAAAATGCCTTATATTGATTATTTGATTCAGTGGTCCCAATAACCCCATGAGGTAGATGATGAATTGTTCCTATGTGCGAGAGATAAAGTGGCTCCATGACTAAGGTCACTGAATTAGGGAATGTGACAACACTCTAATTGAAACTCTCATCAATTTACTCTATGACTCCAGGACACGATATTAACCCCAAGTCTCCCAGACTGGCTGCAGGTATCAAGGGTTCTGTGTTCCTTCCTTAGATGAACAGCTGTGGTTTTCTGTGCTTTTGCCTTCACAAATGGAGTGACCAATTGGAAATGGGGTAATTCCTTCTGCTTCGGCTTTGGTCTGTGCTCCTCTGTCATGGTGATGTTTTCATTAGGAAATGCTTTTTTACTTCCCTGGATGAATACCATTGGGTTTCACTAGTTAGCTTGAGTCACTTGTGAATGATTGGGTTAGCAGAAAAGGGTTCAGAATTGCTTTGAATTCCTATTTTAGGTCTTTTTTCGTATTTAAATTCTTTAAGTATTACATATGCCTCCATTTCCCCCCATTTACCTCTTCCAGCCAGCTAGCACATGCTCCCGCCCCCCTAGTGTCTGTGTCCATTGGTTATGTTTATATGCACACATACAGGTCCTTTGGTTGATCTCTTATCCACCCTTCCCCTGCATTTCTTCTGAAGTTTGATGGTCTGTTCGATGTTTCTCCGGATCTATTTTGGTTTATCAGTTTGTATTGTTCATTGTATTCCACAAATGAGATCATGTGATATTCCTTTCTCCAATTTACTTATTTTGCTTAGCATAATGCTCTCCAATTCCATCCATGCTGTTGCAAATGATAAGAACTCCTTATTTTTTACAGAGGTGTAGTAGTCCATTATGTAGAGGTATCAATACACTCATCTACTGATGGGCACTTAGGCTGTTTCCAAATCTTAGCTATTGTAAATTGTGCTACTATGAACATAGGGGTGCATATATCCTTTCTGATTCTTTCTGATTGATGTTTCTGATTTCTTAGGATATATTCCTAGAAGTGGGATTACTGGTTCAAATGGGAATTCCATTTTTAATTTTTTAGAAGAAACTCTATACTAATACTGTTCTCCACAGGGCTGCATCAGCCTGCATTCCCACCAGTAATGCACGAGGGTCTGTGTGTGTGGCCCCCACATTCTCACCAGCACTTATTGTTTGTTGATTTGTTGATGATAGGTGGGAGATGGTACCTCATTGTCATTTTGATTTGCATTTGCATCTCTCAGATGATTAGTGACTTTGAGCATGTTTTCATATATCTCTTGGCCTTCTGTATGTCCTCTTTCGAAAAGTGTCTGCTAGTATTTAGGTCCTTTGCCCATTTTTTTTTATTGGATTGTTTGTCCTATTTTAGGTCTTTATGCCTATTAATCTAATTCTATAACAGCACATACAGCAAGAGTTTACATTAATTTGCAACAGATTAAGGTTAAAAAAATGCCACATGGGAAAAAACAATGTAAGATTAATTTCATAAGTATATAGCACTCTTCATAATTTTCACATTTATTATTTTCACTTTCACAAAAACTGTGTGAGGTGCACAAGTCAGGAATTATTTTTATCCACTTTACAAATAAGAAAAGAGAACTATAGACAGGGGTGGGTGACTTATACTAGGATGTGGATCTGGTGAGATCCTACTGTTCTACCTATGCCACCCCCTCTGTAAAACAGAACGTTACTTGTTGGTATACAGAACCAAGTGGCTGCTGTACCAAAGGCTGTGCCATGCTAGGCTGGGGCTGTGGGCTCCTGTATAGCCAGCAACTGTGCTAGAGGGTGGGGACAGAGCAGCAGCCATGACCCCTACTCACACCTGTGCACTGTGATAAAGAAAGTAGAAGTAGCCAGCAGCTGTGGTTCAACCAGATAAAACTTTTAGGCGGGAAGTCAAGTGACAAGTGAAGTTGTGTGTGTGTGTTTTAGATGTTAATTGCTTTTGAAATTTTTTAAAAAGGCAGCTTGAGGAAGTCGGACCAAATAGCAGGAAGGTATTGCAGCAAGATGGATGTGGGAAAGAACCAACCTCGTTTGGCACTGCATCAGACACGTGATTCTCACCAAGAAAACTACGTTCCAGGTAATGAAAGAGGTTGTAGCTTTTGGGAAGAATTGGGGCTATGATTGTTTTCCCCTTTTTTATGGATCTGGCAGAAAAGGGGCATCATTGAGTACATTCATATAACCACAGGGGGAAGGAGGGGTTGTATATCTTCATGAGGTACCTTCTAGTGCTAGGATTCTAATAAGCCAGAGAAACACAAGGAAATAATAAGTAAATTATTAACAAGAAATACATTTAAATGAAAGATAGTGAAAATACCCAATACTGGATGGTTGTGGTTAAACAAGTACATACCCATGTGTATCTATGGTATGTAAATTTGGTAAAACTTTTGGGAAGTTTATAGCAATAGGTAGCAGGAACTGTAGTCCTTATTCTTTTGATTCACTAAGTTTACTCATTGGGTCTATCCTACACAGCATTTCTCAAAATGTTTTGCAGAATTTAGGCCTTGAGGCAGTGTTTTTAATGTTTTTGTGCCTTGGGCCCCTTTGACGTTTTGATGAACTCCTGGATTCCTACACTCTTTTTTGGGGGGTTCCCAGTGCAAATTTGCTGTAACTCCACAGGTTCTAAGAAAGTCTACATCAATGACCCATTGATGTTTCTCAAACTTGGATAGCACCAGAACCTTTTTTTTTTTTTAATGATACCTTTAATATTCCAAAGAACTTAGTTAGAGAAACATCATCCTATGGAAAAAATCCAAAGGAAAAAAAAAGAGCTGTGTGCATGAGTATGTTCATTATAGCTTTATTTACAATGGCAAAAAAATAATTGGCAACAACCTAAATGTTCAACACAAGTAGAAAGACTGGGTAAATGAGAACACATCAACTGATTAAGAATCATGTAGTCATTAAAGTTATAATTATGAAGACCAGATCATGGAAAACAATCTGATATAATGTTTGGTTAATAAGTGATAAAATTGTGGTATAGTCTCATTACAATTTTATATAACATAGGAGTTAGATGGGTATGAGGAAAAAATGAAAAAAAGGTTATAATGTTAAAGGTGGAAGAACATGACTGATTTTTTTCTTTTATATGTATACAATATGTGAAAAATATTTTGAAGAAATTAATAGGTTGGTAGCACAGTTACATACAAAAACTGACCTTTTCATTTTAAATATATTTTATTGATTTTTTACAGAGAGGAAGGGTGAGAGATAGAGAGCTAGAAACGTCGATGAGAGAGAATCATTGACCAGCTGCCTCTTGCACACCCCCTACTGGGAATGTGCCCGCAACCAATGTACATGCCCCTGACTGGAATCAAACCTGGGACCTTTCAGTTCGCAGACCGATGCTCTACCGCTGAGCCAAACCGGTTTCGGCCTGACCTTTTCATTTTAAAAGGTTTACTGTTTGATCCTAGGCATTCTTTGGAAGTATGAGGATAAATAAGATGGAGTCCTTGTCCTCAGAAAGCCAGGAAAGAAGTAGACACCCAGCATAGAGTCCTTTGCCATAGAAGTCTTGCTGATAAATGTCAGAATTTGTTGCTATCTCCTATAACTTTCATTTTGATCTTACAGAAGTGATTGGAACTTGGAGTTTGCGAAACAGAGAGCAGCTCAGGAAAAGAAAAGCTGAAGCACAAGAAAAGCAAACGTCACAATGGCAGTTTGGGTATGGTATCCTTACAAGGGAAAAAGAAGCTGATATATATATATATTTTAATTTTTTTTAAAAAATATGTTTATATTGATTTTTAGATAGAGAGGGAAAGGGAAAGGGAGTTAGAAACATCAATGAGAGACAAACATTAATCAGCTGTTTCTTGCATGTCCCCAACTGGGGATCAAGCTCCGAAACCAGGCATGTGCCCTGATTGGGAATCAAACCAGTGACCTCTTGGTGCGATGCTCAATCCACCAGCTGGGCAAGAAGCTGATATTTGTCCAGCAAATGCTATGTGCCAAGTAGTGCTGAGCACTTTCACACACTATATTTTATCATTCCCACTATCCTGTAAATCAGGAGCTGTTATCCCTATTTACAAAAAAAAAAAAAAAAAAAAAAAAAAAAAAAAAGGAAACCAAGTGTCCAGTGGGTTAAATCTCTTGTATAAAGTCATACAGCTGATAAAGTGATAAGAATAGAATTTTATCTCCCGTCTCCTTAAGTTAAAACACCAGGCAATCGAATTATGCTGTCCAGAGGCCTGGTGCACAACCACTCTGGTAATATAAACACAGAAGAATTTTGTTTTTGGGAGCAAGGGACACCACTGAAGAAATCTCTTAGCTTGTTCTCCAAGCTTCCTTAGTAATCCTTATAGAGTGATTAATTCTCCAGGAAGGAAACCAAAACACTGTAAATGAGTGATGTGACAAGGTAGTTTGGGAGTTCTTAAATCTCCCATCTCAGTCACCTGTCTGTCATCCCAGGGAGGGAGTACAAGAACATGATTATAAATTAGGCAGCATCAAACAGCATCCATTTAGAATATGATTGTAAAAGGATATTTCTAGCTTCGAGATGGAAAATAGGAGACCAAGGAGCCAAGGAGCACAGCATCTATTGAAGCCAGGATTTTTATCCCTTGACACTGTGGGCAGGATACTTCTTAGTGTGAGAGGCTGTCTTGTGCTTGAGGATGTTTAGAAACATCTGGCCCATAGCTAGCAATCCTCTTTTCTCCCCAGTTATGACAACCAAAAATGTCATGTCAAATGTCTCCTGGGGCAGGTGGAGAGGGAACAAAACGGCCTCCAGTTGAGAACCATTGATCTAAGCACTAGTCTTAAAAAAAGGGCATTTGTCTTTTCTGCTACAATACTGCACATACGACTGGTAAATAGGAGAATGTTGTCAGTATAATATGGAAGTTGTGTTGATTCATGATTTTTCCTAGTCAAAGGAGCCAGAATATTGGGAATAGAAGGAAAGGAAAAAGCCTTTATCGTGGCTGCTGCTTAGGCAGGATCCTTTTCAGACTGCATCCAGGGCTGTTCCCCAAGAGAAGGGTAGCAGGCTGCACTTACTCCTATGCTCAAATTAATGACAACCTCCCAGGCTCAAAGTGCTGCCCTTATTTGCATAATCTCAGCACCTGCAAACCTGCATTTACATGGTTGTGGGCATTTTTATTATCCCCTGAGGCAGCCTCCAGTCATGGTTACCAACCTGTCTGGCTATCCATATTACTTCAAGTACCAATTATTGTTTCTGCTAGTGTTGAAAAGTTGCATAGGTTTTGAGTCATTTGGCCCAGCTAATTTTCTCCCATTACTTTTAGTGCATGATTTTTCAGAAAGTGAAATTTTCCAGGAATATGTTTATTATTTTTTAGCAGAAACATCTATACTTGGGTCCTCTGGCAGGTGACTCTGTTGAAGAGTATCCACTTAGCTCTCCGAATTCTATATTTGCCCAGCAACCTTCTAATCATTAATTGGCTTCCCAAGTACTTGCTACAGAGAAAGACTGCATTCATTTATCAGCCCAAATATTCTTTGCTGTGTGACTTTGCACTTCTTACTGTTCATTTAAAAATGGGTCTTTGGGCCCTAACCAGTTTGGCTCAGTGGACAGAGCGTTGGCCTTGGGCCTGAAGGGTTCCAGGTTTGATTCTGGTCAAGGCATGTAACTTGGTTGTAGGCACATCCTCAGAAGGTGTGCAGGAGGCAGCTGATTGATGTTTCTCTCTCATCGATGTTTCTCACTCTCTATCCCTCTCTCTTCCTCTCTGTAAAAAAAAATCAATAAAATATATATTTTAGAAAATAGGCCTGTGGGTTTACATATCAGTCTATTTGAGCTGGTTGATGAGCTCTGCCCCTGAGAAAAGGAGCTAGTCTTAATATGCTGGTAGAATTGGGTTTCTGTGCTTGTTGCACTGGGGAGCCAAGGCTGAGGAAGTCACTGAAGTACATGACACCTTGGTGAACCTCTTAGCAGCTGGCTGTTCTTGCTCTGGTGACACATTTCTGTACTGAGTACTCTTCTCACTACAGCATACCACACAGTGAAACCTTAGTAGTTCCAGAGAGAAGCAGCAGGTGTAATGACTAAGAGCCTGGCTATTAAAGCCATGATGATTAGATTAGAAGCCTGGCTCCCCTACTTCCTAGGCATTTGATCTTGGACTATTTACTCCCTCTTTCTGGGCCTCAGTTCTGTCATTTGCAAAATGGAGATAATAGTATCCACTTCAAAAGTTGATGTGAAATCATTATTCCTTATATAAGAACTTGAGGTCGGTGCACGAAATTCGTGCATGGGTAGGGTCCGTAGGCCTGGCCAGCAATCAGGACCAATTTGGGCCTTCTGGATGCCACGGGGACCTCACTTCCCTGGCTGCCAGCTGCCAGCTGGGGCCTTCCTTCATTCCGTGCTGCCTCCTGGTGGTCAGCACACATCATAGCAAGCGATAGAACGCCAAGTCTCCTGGTCCAACTCCTGCAGGAACACTTTGCATATCAGCCTTTTATATGTATATAGATAAGGAAATTACTTAAAACAGCGCCTTGCACATGGGAAGCACTATAAGTTTCCTATAGGAAAACAGAGTGCTACTTTATATTTGGATAATTCATTAATGTAAGTTATTACATGCAATTCTTATAACAACCACATGAGGTTGGGGAGATTCTACAATTCCATTTAACCTATGAAGAAATCAAGGCATAGAGCAGTTAAGTGACTTGCCCACAGTCACGTAGCTGATAAATGACAGAATTTTTTTAAAAACTACCAGGAAGAATATGGGACATTTATATTACTCAGATTTCTTCATTTAGAGATCTACGTAACAAAATATTTAGGACTTAATATCTAGGAAAAAGTGTTTCCTGAATAATTTAGATAATTTGACAATAAGGATTTTTTAATTTACCTTGTTACCTTGGTTACTTGGAGTTATATTTTAAAATGTTGAGGTTTCATACCACCATTTTTAGATTTCCTTTTCTTCTAATTTATTTTTAATATTTAGACTTATCCTATTGCATACATACTCTTTTAATAATGACTTTAAACTTGTTTTGGTGAGGCAGTCTTTAAATTTTTTTGAATATGAAAATTTTCAAACACAAAATAGAATATATATACATTTTTAAGGTGTATAGGGAACTATGAGCATTACAAAGATATAAAGACACTGGTTTAATCACTAGAGAATATCTAGTTTATTTTTTAAATGTTTCTCCAGAAATAACTATGGATTGAGGCAGCCTGTGACCCTTTCCTTAAGCATGATCCTCCTAAAAAATCACAAAGGAGTGTTAAGCAGGGAGAGCATTTCAGCCCTCTGGTTTGTAAGAGAAGGCTCTTTGTAACAGGTAGCATAGGACAGAATTCCAATGGGTTTAGAAAAATGATGAAGTGTTTATTTATAACCTTTTTTCTCCCCCCTGAGCCCATCTGTATTAGCCATCTGTATTTGGTTATATTTGCAGTACCCAACAATTTGTCATTGGCTGCAATTTCCATGTACATGCTTTGATCTTTAGATCTTTAATCTAGCTATTGCTTCACAGTAAGCATGACATGGCCACTCATGCCTTTCCACCAGGCTTTTTAACCTCAATAAATGTTTTTTGCAGCATGTGATCTAACTTACAGTATATCTCATTTGACTTTTTTTTTTTAATCTTTTATGTATCATTCCAATTTTAGTATATGTGCTGCCGAAGCGAGTGCTCAAAACACTGTATTAGATAAACAAGCTATATACATCACCCACATACAGATTGCAGAGACAAGGAGCAGTGTCTGGATTGAGGATGTAGAAACACAAATGTATGAGTTTACCCGGGACATAGCGGGACTAACTCAAACAGACTAAACCCAAAGAGACTAGTGTATAAACCAGAATGCTAATCTATTCACTTATAGCATAATTATACATCTTCATAACCAATTAAGTATATGCTTTCAAACAAACACTACACTTGCTGGTGAGAAAGGCATGAGAGACACAAAGTTCCTGAGGGACATTCCTCTCCTGACAATTGAGTACATCTAGCCTTGCTCCTTCATTTGGCAAACAAGGATGTTGAAGCACAGAGAGATTAAGTGACTTGTTCAAAGGTTGTGAAACAAGGCAGTGGGATACCTGGACTGTTATTACCAACTACTTACCTGAATTCTTTAGCCCTGTTGTTGATGCTAATTCTGATCTCTCCACAGAGAGAAAAAATACAAGCGGCAGAGGACAGGAAAAGGAAATCAAAGAGGCAGAAAGAACCACCAAAATACAGAACTAAAGGTAGAGCCTCAGTCACAATTAGAAAAGGAAATGATGGAGAATGCACTGGCACCTACAGAGAAAGAAAACGAATCACCTAGGAGTGTAACTGAAGCTCTCCCTTCAGTAGCCTCCCCAAAGAGAACTGAACCTGAGAAAAAACTTCCTGCCACAGGTCAAGAAAGCACTATATGTCAGAAAAATTCTTCTGAGTACCAAGAAACAACAGTTCAAAATCACCCTTCTGAAATAGGCCAAGATATGGCTGAGCCTGAAGACCTCTCTCCTAAATTGTGCCTAGAAATCGCTGTAATTCAAGGTCATTCTTCCAAAATTTGCCATGATATGGCTGGACCTGAAGACCTCTCTCCTAAAATGTGCCAAGAAATCGCTGTAATTCAAGGTCATTCTTCCAAAATGTGCCATGCTATCCCTGAACCTGAAGACCTCTCTCCTAAAATGTGCCAAGAAACATCTGTAGTCAAAGCCCTTCCTTCTAAAACATATGAAGACATAGCTGGCATGGAAGGATGCTCTCTTGAAGTATACCCCAAAGCAGAAGTGCCTAAAGGTTACACTCTTGAAACACACCAAACAAGAGCTGAACCCAAGGAAGACAGTACTGAACCAGGTCAAGGAATAGCTGGGACTGAAAGCTTTCCTCCTAAAATACAACAAGAAATAGCTGAGCCTAAGGACCTTTCTACAAAAGCATACCAAGAAAGGGTTGAACCTGGACATGTTTCTCATAAAGCCTATGAAGAAATTTCTGTGCCCAAAGCCCTCTCTTGTAAGACAATCCAAGAAACACCTGCTCATGAGGAATGTCCATCTGAAATATACATTTACCAAAAAACACCTGAGCCTGAAGACTGTGCACCCGAAATACATCAAGAAACACCTGGGCCTGAAGACCTCTCCACTAAGACATACGAAAATAAGAATGTGCCTGCATTATGCTTTCCTGAACCTACCCAAGAAGTAGATGGGCCCCACGGCCAGGATCCTAACGCACACCAGGAAGATGCTACGGATGTTTATACTTTTTCTCGAGGTAGGGGTGGTTTATAGGGGACAAGTCAATGACCTGCTTCCATTTATAATTACAGCAACAAATAGTTATAACTACCTCAGAGTGGTGATTTATAGCCTTCTTCGACAGTCCTTGGTTATCCACAGTCATCTCAAGGGGTATCATTATTGTCATTGGCTAGTTTTTCATTTAACCAATGTCTGTCTGGCACATTTTCTTTCTTTCTTTTCTTTTCTTTTCTTTTCTTTTCTTTTCTTTTCTTTTCTTTCTTTTCTTTTCTTTTCTTTTCTTTTCTTTTCTTTTCTTTTCTTTTCTTTTCTTTTCTTTTCTTTTCTTTTCTTTTCTTTCTTTCTTTCTTTCTTTCTTTCTTTCTTTCTTTCTTTCTTTCTTTCTTTCTTTCTTTCTTTCTTTCTTTCTTTCTTTCCTTTCTTTCTTTCTTTCTTTCTTTCTTTCTTTTTTAAATATATATTTTATTGATTTTTCACAGACAGGAAGGGAGAGGGATAGAGAGTTAGAAACATCAATGAGAGAGATACATCGACCAGCTGCCTCCTGCACACACCCCATCGGGAATGTGCCTGCAACCGGTGTACATGCCCTTGACCAGAATCGAACCTGGGACCCTTCAATCCGCAGACCGACACTCTATCCATTGAGCCAAACTGGTTTCTGCTGTCTGGCACATTTTCAAAGAATTAAAAGAAAATAATTGAAAATATAAGTGTGTATAGTAGTTGCTTATACATGCTATCCATTTCGGGAAGCTTTAGCCAGTGAAAGAAATGAACCCAATATAGGATAATGTGTGTGAAAATATTTTAAAGGATAATTAAGTTTAGATTTACAAGAAAACTTGAATTAAGTTTTTCTTGAATATTAAAATTTCCTGGCAAGCAAAAGGCAAGTAAATGCATGGCATACAGTACTAAAGAAGATACAAAGGTGTAAAATATGATTCCTGTTTTCAGGATTTATCATGTTTACCAAAAACCCTTTCTATTTTATTATCTGTCTGAAAAGCTTTCTCCTAAGTATAGAATTTTGAAAAGAATGTGACCTTTCGTCAATTTGACTAGCCTCAGGGACATAACTGAGAATTTCTATTCTCTCTGCATAGTGCTGTAGATTATACTGTAAGAAAATGGGCTGTCCTAGCTGGTTTGGCTCAGTAGATAGAGCGTCAGCCTGCAAAGTGAAGAGTCCCAGGTTCGATTCCAGTCAAGGGCACATACTGGTTGCATCTTAATTCCCAGTCCTGGTTAGAGCACATGCAGGAAGCAACCAATTGAAGTGTCAATGTTTCTATCTCTCACCCTCCTTTCCATTCTCTCTAAAAATCAATGGAAAAATATCCTTGGGTGAGGATTAACAAGCAAACAAACAAACAAACAAAAAAAAAAAAACAAAAAAAAAAAAAGGAAAGAAAAAAGAAAAAAGAAAGAAAATGGGCTGAGATTGTCAGACCATAGTTTTCTCCAGGGAATTGTTCATTTACTTTTTCTCCTTAAGAGTGCAAGAAAACCATGAGGTTAGTAGGGTTCCAAGTAATATTTTAAAAATCTTTGCCTACTTGCTATTTAAAAAAAATAATAAAACATTAGTTTTTTTAATTGCCACCTTTTGATGACTAATGCTACTTGACATCTTTTCATAATTATTATGAATTTGAACTTTTTCTTTTGAGAATTGCCTGTTTGAATCCTTGTTCTGTTTTAAGTTTGGGATATCTATCTTTAGCTGATTAAAAATTTCTTTAAATAATAGTTATTAAACCTTTGCCTACATATAAGTTGTATATATTTTTCCAGTTGTTGTTTGTGGTTTAACTTTGTTTATAGTGCTTTTTGTCTTGTATATGACATTTAAATTTTAATTTTAGTTTTTAGTTGTTCAAATGTGTCAATCTTTTCCAGAAAGCATATCTGGTCTGTGTTCTGCTTAGAAAGGCCTTTACAATCTGAAAATTATAGGATATTCTATTATTTCTACAATCTACATGGTATTTTAATATTTAAATCTTTAGTTCATCTGTAATTTCTTTTTGTGCAAGGTCTGAGGTAGAGTTGTTTTTCTTCAAATGGATAGTCAATTGTCCCAAATCCATTTAGTGAACCTCTTTTTATATTTTATTTGGTTTTACAGAAATGAAAGAAAAACCCAAAGCACAAGAACCAGAGATACCAGCAATTCCAGATGTTCCTCAAGAGATTAATCCAGAAAATGATGTCTATAGTTATGTTTTGTTTTAACAATGCTCAATCATAACAATTGTGAAACAAAATACACATCTTATTCCACATGATTTCTCTCAAAATATTGTAGCAATCTCTACAATATTCATTAATATTTTAATAGTGTGTTCTTTTTCCATGTATAGACCTTATCTGAAAGAGAAAACTAATGTGTTTTTCAGGCTGAATTACATAGACAATAATCTACAGTGTGTGTGTGTGTGTGTGTGTGTGTGTATTGGGGTGAGGATAGTGGTGGGAAAAGATGAAAATGGGAAAGGGGAGGGCTGAATAATTAACTTACCTCTAATAATTATTTTTTATTAATTATTTTTTTAATTTACACCTGTGAATATTGTTTCATTGATTTCAGAGAGAGTGGAAGGGAGGGGGAGAGATAGAGGGAAAGAAACATCAGTGTAAGAGGTACATATGGATTGGTTGCCTTCTGCACGCACCCTGACCAGGACCAGGGATTGAGCCTGCAACTGAAGTATGTGCCTTTGACTGGAATTGAACCTGGGACTCTTCGGTCTATGGGCTGTCGCTCTATCTACAGAGTCATACCAGCTAGGGCTTGATTAATTCTTAAGAGCAGAAAAATTAATAAATCTGAGCACTTAAAATATGGGTGAGTATATACTTGTAAACTTTGTTCAACTAATAATGTAAAAATAGCATCAAAATTTTATTGAGATTTTAGGTGTGTTTTTTTTTTTAAGTTAATTTTATCTTTCTGGAACTCCAAAGATCTTTTGTAGTGCTGAATATATTATGTATTTGAATTTGAATTTTCTGTTTTACTTTTTATATATTGTATTTGTACATTAAATCATTGTTACATGCTTAATTGTGTGGAATACATCATGGTAAGCATTTCGAAAGTTAGAAGACTTATGACACTTTGTCCATCAGGTGTTTAATCTAGTCTTATGGGAGAATAAGACAGGAAACAAATAATTACTAAAGAAAATAGTAAATGCTAGTGCCATTTGAACAGTAGATACAATTAAGGGAATGCTCTCTTTTGCTGAAATGATCTGAAAAATTACACGAGTGGAGCCTTGAAAGATGGAGAGGATTTATATTATAGGTGAGGATAACAGCATTATTATGGTACATGGAATGTATTACAGAGAGAGGTGAATTCAAGTGTTAAAGATGTTCAGTTAGTACAGTGTTCCTGTGGAATAGCAGCCTATTAGCTAAAAAAAATCTTGTATTATTAGAGCGAACAGAATTTTGAATACTTAACTAAGAAGTTTATCCCTTACTTGTTAGGTAATGGGGAGCTAAGTAAGACTTTTGAACTATGAAGTGGCAGTTTTAGTATTTTAGGAGAATTTATTTGGTGATAATGGTCAGGATTAACTGAAAATGAGGAGAGCCTGGGGTCAGGAGCAGGAACTATTCTGGGTGGGAAGAAGTCAAAGTTTGGTTCAGCAAGGGCACAGTTGCCTAAGAAGCTTTCTATGTAGGTGTAGCTGACAGTAGAGAACAAGACAATCCTAATCTCTCAAGAATTCATGGTGTAGAAAAGTGTTTCTCAACCCTCTTGGTATACAAGAACCACTGGGGAAGATCTCAAAATTACAGATGCCCAGACACCTCCCTGGGACTTCTATTCACCTACCTGCCTAGGATGACATCCAGACATAGGTATATTTTTTTATTTTGCTTTAAATGATTTTTTGAGGAATAATTTTAGGATTACATAAAAGTAAAATAGTACAGATATTCCTGTATACCTTTCATCCAGTTGGCATCTTCTATAACTATGGTCCACATACCAAAACTTAAGAAATTAAGATTGTTACATTACCTTGAAGAGGTAGTGATCTACTTCATTAGTATTTCCAAGTCTGCTCTGTATTTCAGTACTTGTCACACTTGGTAATGAATGTATTTTTGTGTGTGAATGTCATCATATATAAGGTTTAAGGCAGGGAAGGCAAATAAATACCTCATTTTTTACACTAGACTGTCCACATATTGAGGAAGACTCACTTTCCACAGCACCACCATCTAGTGGCAAGCACAGCTATTACCTCGCCAGTTTTACAATGTATATATAGCTCAGCAATTCTCAAACTTGTTTCTTCAGCTACACAGAGCTGTTTCCAAGTGGAAACAGAATAATAGCATTCTTTTCCAAATTGTCTTTTTAAACCACCCTCTCTTTAAATCGTTGGCCTTTCTTTTTAAACCACATTCTCTTTAAATCCTTGGCTCTTTCTGCTGATTATTTTCTACTAGTGACCTATTAGTTTATAACAAATGGACAGATTTAGAAACAGCTTTTTAAAAAATGGTTGTTAAGCTTTTAAGTCTGTGGATGTGTATGCTTTTGAATAATTTATACCGTAGGCAATATGTCTCCATCCTACCACCACACCACGTGAACCAACTGGATAAAGTGCCCAGAAGCAGAAAAATGCATACAGAGAAATTTAAAATAGATCACAGGTGATGTTACAAGTGGGTAAAAGGACAGGCTATCTTACAGGGATAACTGCTCATCTAATGGGATTTAAAATAAGGATCCTCGTTGTCCCTCAGCTTTTCAGAGCTGCCCAGAAACAACGACCCTAATCCTTTCCATGTCAATGGCTTGTTGACTCTCAATTTCATTCTCACTTCAGCTTCCTTGAGGCGGGGAGCACGGCAACAGTCCCAACCTCTTAATCCCTAATCCGGTATGGGGTTTCCCCATCCATTTTATTCGAAGTAAGATTTAGTTGGATCCCTTTTTTGATAAATCCTTCATATTACGGAAAAACGGGAGCATACATACAAGTATAAATGTATGGGTATTCCCACCACTCGAGAATTTTAAACATTTTCTAACAACCGATCATTCTGCTATTTGGTGGTTGCGCACATACACATTCTTTCTCTCCCCCACAACCCGCCCCACATTCTTTTTCTTTATTAGCGTCATGCGCTTGATATGTAGGTTATTTCGAGACAGACATCTTTTACATCTTGGATGTGTCCTCTCCCCCCGCCCCCCTTGGGAAGGGCGGGGACTCGGGAGTCGCTGACTGCTCTGAAAGGGCTAGCAACTGAGGTGGGTCCGCGCGAGACAACCGAGATACCTGTTCGGTTCCGGAGAGGAACCCCGTAACGGGAGAGGAACAGAGGACGACACACACCTCTGAGCAAAGGTAACCTTTGGGCTGCCCGAGGACACCGCGCGCGCCCCAGCCCCTGCGCCTGCGCCGGATACTGACACCACCTAGCGGGTGCGGCTACTGCGCAGGCGCCAGGCATGCAGACCGGAAGCGGAAGTCCAGGGCGCGTCGGGTGGGTGCCACTGTCACCAGTAACCATGCGCGGCTTGGAGGAACCAGGGCGTCGCCCCACAGCGACCCCGTGTGGGTGCGTGAAACCGGCTCTGGAGACAGGTAACTTCTGAGAGGCTGGCGCTTTCGCCCTCGGAAGAGGCCCAGGTGTGGAGAGCCCACTTCGCTGCCGAGAGGGACCAGAAATGCAAGACCCAGTTTTTGACGTGCGTCACATTTACTGCGAAGGCGCGGCTCACGTGCTTCGTCTACCACGTGACGTGTGTAGGCGGGCTGGATGGCGTCATTACGTTTCTTTTCTTTTTTTTATTCTAAGTATTTTATTTGTATGCTGCTGCCAGTGTATATAAAATAATCATGCTTGTGAAATAGAAATTTATGAAAATTCAGAGAGGTAGATGTTAAGGACTGACAAAAGCAGAAGTTTGTATAGTATGGCACATCTTATAGGATAAGCTTTTTGTACAGGCTTCAGATTTAGCTCTCTTTGAATATTCTCCGGTTTAAGAAAAGTGGTTTAGGACACCTTCAAAATTCATTTTTACTACAAAAAGGAACAAACTTTCTGGGGCCTGAAGGGATTGGTACTTGAAGATACTCCAGTCAGCAGGGGGTCATGTTGAGCATTCTGCAGACAGAATTGTTTCCAATCTGCAGCTGCCTGGGAAACCTTCACGCGGTGGAGCCCGGCCTCCAGCCGGAGCTGCTGAACCACTTTCTTCATCGCGGTGTCGCTGGAGGAACCAGACATGGTGCACGCGAGAGCCGGGCAGACGGGTCGGAAGCAGGTGGCGGGTGGCGGGTCCGCTGGGGCCCGACGGCGGGGCAGCGACGCGAGGGGCGGAGCTCGGAACTTGGTCTCCGAGTTTCCGGTTCTTCGCCCAGCCCGTCATTACGTTTCTCGGTAGCTGAGGTCCGCCCGGTCCGGCGCGGTGGTTGAACTAGCCACGTCCAGGGAAACGGCTCTCAGGGAGTTTTTGTTCATGGAGGAGAGCTGGGATAGGCGCTGGTGGTGTGCGGGTTCGGAATGAGTGCCACAGTGAGAAGCATCCTGGGCTGCAGTCAACGAGGAAAGCCTGGAAAGCCCAGCGGGAGGAAATAGTTTTAAACTGGGCCGGAAAGGTGGAAATGAGGTTGCTTCTCTTTACTTTCACCTCTGTATGTAGAGCAAACTATATTAACTTTATAAACTAGAGGATGCAAGTGGAAGAAAATTAGCCACCCCCCCAGAGAAAACCATTGTGAATATCTTGATTTTTAAAAAAATGTAGATTTTTTTTTATTTCTTTATTGGTTATGGTATCACATAATTGTCCTCATCCCCCTATTTCCCGTCCCAAATATATGATGTAAACCCCCTCCCCCCTGTTTTCCATGACCACTGGTTAGGCTTATCTGCATGCATACAAGTCCTTTGGTTGATCTCTCCACCTTTCAGCCACCCTCCCCTGCCTTCCCCCTGAGGTTTGACAGTCTGATCCATGCTTCCCTGTCACTGGGTCTGTTTTTGTTCTTCAGCTTATGTTGTTCATTATTTCCCTTAGGTGCGTGATCTTGATGTTTGTTTTACTGCACACACCCTAGAAATGAGTTGATGTATGACCCCCTAAAAACTTAAGATTCATAAAAATCTATGGTCAATCGTTTTAATTTTAAGGGGTTAACTTTTTCTTTTATAGATGTTCTCTAACTTAAGTTCCCTATTATTGGGCA